GCGCGGGAGGGGAAGGAGAGGCAGCCGAGGAGAGATGTGCCGCTTTACTCGGTGGAGAAAACATGGAGTAAAAATAGTAAAATTTTTAGAAAGGAGTAAAATTATACTCCGTTAGGCCAGATTGGGGATCGGCCAGGTGCTGGTTAGTGGAATAAAAAAGCTAAACATATTTCACTAATCGGTTATAGAGGATCGGTTAGAAATGCCCTAAGAGGGTAAAAAAAAATGTTTCCGCCATCTGAAAACAAGTCATTCATCGATAGCTCAAAAAGATAGAACTGTACACATTCAGTTGGCAACGAAGATGGTACACCTCACCAAGAAGCTATAAAAAATGAAAAAGAAATGAAAGAATCACAACGCAAGCATTGCCCATTTTGCCCTCCACGCACGGAGGTGGACTCGCTCGTATGTCGTCTCCGTGTCATTGTATGATCTCGGCCGCCGATACCCGAGCAGCCGCCACAAAGGCCATGATGACAGCCAAGTTGGTGGCGGAGCAGAGCGAGAGGAGCGAGAGGGTTAGGGATTTGAGGGGGGAGACGCGGGTTAGGGATTTCAGGATGGGGAATTTTGGATTTTCATAGAAAACTCCTCCATGCAAGATTGGCCAAATCAGAACGGACTACGTGGCGGTCAACAGTTGGTTAAACCCATCATGTACGTGCTATAGTGACCGTATTTTCACGTCAAATCGTATTCACAGACCGTATTGAGCGTATTCTAGAGTTCGGTGACCGTATCGTGCTTCTGTCGCAACTATAGTGACCATGAATGTATTTATCTCTAAAAAAAGTCCCCCCAATCCTACACATTCAATTGACAACCAAACGTAGTACACCTCAACAAGAAGCTATAAAAAATGAAAAGGAAATGAAAGAATCGCAACACATGCATTGCCCTTTTTGCCCTCCGCGCACGGAGGCGGGCTCGCTCGTTGTGTCCGTATCATTGGGTGATCTCGGCCACCGATACCCGAGCAGCCGCTGTCAGAGTAAATGACCACGGGTAGCCTAGCCGGCTCCCCCTGGTTCTTCTGAAAAAAATTACGAGCCGATCCGGCCCTCAAGAATCCAAAACGTGGGGCCGCCTTCCCCTTGCCGGCTGTTTCCCAGGCCGACTATCGGAAGGCGGCCCGGCTTTAGTCCTCATGAAGAAAGCCGCGGGAGGGCCGGCTCCAAGAAGCCGGCCACGAGAAGGCCGACTCCAATAGGCCGGCCCACACAGAGCGGTCAAGATCGTACCCTCGAAGTCTGCGTCCATATAACGGCGATGTGGCGGAGCGTGGCTACAGTAAAGCCTGCCACCCTCAAATCCCGGAGCACGTCTGGCACAGTGCGCCGTACGGGGTGGCCATGACCCGTCCGGCGCGGCACTGTTGCCATGTTGACCCTGATGCCACCCACGACGGGCTGTCAGCGCGGCCCACGGGCGGTGGGCCTCTTCAGGCAGAGAGACACCCGAAGGCGGCCAGGCCTCCCCCAGTCAGCCCAAGACAGGGCCGGCTCCCCGCAGCCGGCTTGCCTCCTCCCTCGAAGGAGACGCCCCATTAAGGAGACAAGACGCGGTGAGGCTACAGCGATCGCCCGCCAGGCGGCGCACTGTAGCCACGCCCACCTCGGCGAAGCCCTCGTCACCAGGTTGAGGCAACAGTAACCAGCCACCGACAAGGCCCTGGACGGTGGGGCCTGCCTGTCGACCAAGGAGCCGGCAGCCGGCGGGCCCCAGCAGCCGACGCAGAAGCCGGCGAGCGTAGACACCGACGGCTGGGGCCCACGCCCAGCCGGATTACCAATGTACCCCCGGGGGGTGGGCCTATATAAACCCCCCGGGGCACCCATGCAAAGGGTTGATCTGAGCTAGTTTTAGACACCACATAGAGAGGAGAGGAGAGCAAGCCGTACCCTTCTTCTTCCTCTCGCCAAGCAGCTCAAGGAGCATCTTGTAGCCACTCGTTCATCTAGTGATCATGCGGAGACCCCGCAGAGCAGCAGTAGGGGTGTTATCTCCACGGAGAGCCCCGAAGATGGGTAAGATTCGCCGGCGTGCATGTCTTCGCCTCATCCCGCTTCCAGGCACCGGCGACGCCTTACTGGCTCCCACAATGATAAGCCACACGTTGGCATATGTTGCACCTACCACCCGACATTTGGCGCCCACCGTGGGGCCAGGTGCACCGTCGTCCGGAGACCTGTTCTGGACGGGAACCCTCTTCCTCCCCAGCGAGCGTAGCCAGCCCGGCACGCGCAATGGCGCTTGCCACGACGCGCTGCAAGGCGTCGCCAATGTTTGCGTAGCGAGCGGCCTCGCCGATCTCCTTGACGAGACCCTCATCTCCGACACGGCCTCGCTCGACGCTTTCCCCACCAACGTCGCGATCTACAACGACCCTCTTCCCCGGGCCGATGGCTGCTACGGCGCCACCGCCGAGGTGATGGTCATCGGCCACGGCGGCGCTTCTGGCGAGAACGCCCTCGACGCCCCGCATGTAGCGGTCCACGACTTATCCATCCCCCTCCCGGTCGATGCCAACGCCGAAGCACTGGAGGCTCGCCGCCTCCCGCTCCTCGCGGAGGGCCGGAAGTTGGCTTCCATGAGACGCCTCACCGAGGCCCACCAGCGCGAAGCCGACCGCGCCGCCTTTGGCACGCCGCCCCCAGGCGGGCCAAGCCGAGCCGGCGTTGTCAGACAGCGCGGCGCTGCCCTCACCGACACGCTAGGAGTCGACCGCCCAGTCTACGCCACTCCGCTCGAGAACCTGCGCGCCGCCCAGGCGGCCGTAGATGAGCTAGACGGACTGGGGGCCGAAGAACCCCTCCACATGACCAGACGCATCCAGCAACTAATCGACGCAGCCACACAGCGGCACGAAGCCGACGCCCGCGCGGAAAGCCCTCCCCCGCGCCGAGAGCACGGCGCGACGTCCCGGACGCCGACTGCGGGTAAAACCCGTGCGCGACACGAGAAGGAGCCGGCTGCCAGCCGAAGCCGAACCCGGACCTCCATCGAGCGAGACGCAGAAGGCCGTCCCCGGGCCGTGGAGCGGCGGGGCAACCCACTTCCGCCTCCGCCTCGTGGGGAGAGATATCCCACCCCACTGCCTGTCACGCATTCGACTCTCAGCGGCAGACTAGGTCTCCGTGAAGGAGTCGGCGAGAACGACGCCCGCCATCGGATCGACCGCCTAGCGCGATCCCTGGCGCTAGAAGAAGAAGATGATGTCGGCCCGCCTTGTTTCGGCCCCCGCATCCGCGACGAGCCTTTCCCCAAAGGGTTCTCGCTCCTAAGAGACACGCCCAAGTACAACGACTCCGTGAAGCCGGAAGATTGGTTGATCGACTACTCCACAGCGGTTCGCATAGCAAACGGCAACAGGCTGTTGGAAATATGCCCTAGAGGCAATAATAAAAGGATTATTATTATATTTCCTTGTTCATGATAATTGTCTTTATTCATGCTATAATTGTGTTATCCGGAAATCGTAATACATGTGTGAATAATAGACACCAACATGTCCCTAGTAAGCCTCTAGTTGACTAGCTCGTTGATCAACAGATAGTCATGGTTTCCTGACTATGGACATTGGATGTCATTGATACCGAGATCACATCATTAGGAGAATGATGTG